TACATCACTCAGTCCGCTCAGTGTGACAAAAATCTCAAAGGCTGGTATCGGTTCCAAGGAGCTGCGGGAACTAGAATGCCTACTTCATGTCCACCTACATACAGGTGTAACACTAATGCACCCGGCTGGTTAAATGGTGGTCATCCTTTAGTGGCTGATGGCAAAGTCACCAGGCAGGTCTGCTTTCACTGGAGTTCAAACTGTTGTCACTCGTCCACCAACATTGACGTGAGAAACTGCGGCTCTTTCTATGTTTACCACTTTCGTGGAACACCGGGCTGTAGCGGCTACTGTGGCAGTGACTAATTGCCTCCCTCAGATCTTAATGAACTCCAGGTTTTGGAAAAGATGCATTTCTTATACAAATTACCTGATTACCACAATGAATTTCCACTGGACAGTGATTTATCCGGTAGATAATGCGTGTTAACTATTGAGAATTGGAAGACAGTCACGCAAAATCGATTTTTCTATTATTTCGCCAAAACATACCTTTGGGTGAACTAATTCAAGAGAAAATAGTTGTGCCACAGGTGTGGCACTGCTGGAAGTGGCTGGTTAAATGGTGTACATCCTACAGTGGTTGATGGCAAAGTCACCAGGCAGGTCTGCTTTCACTGGAGTCCAAACTGGAGTTCAAAGTGTTGTTGGCAATCCACCAACATTGAAGTGAGAAACTGCGGCTCTTTCTATGTTAACCACTTCAGTGGTTCAAATGGCTGTAACCATCGCTACTGTGGCACTCACTAATTGCTTTCTTGATAAACCTTGACAACGTCCGGGTTCTTAATGAATAATGTTTGTGTAATTTTTTGTTTTTTTGTTTTTGTTTTTGTTTGTTTGTTTGTTTGTTTATTTGTTTGTTTGTTTGTTTGTTTTTTCACTGATATTAACAAAGGTATTAATAGAAACACACAGCACGAATAAAAAGGGGCGATTTCTTGTTTTGACCTCGGTTTTAGTTGAATGCAAATAAAAACATATTTGTCCTTAATTCTCTTAACTGACAACGAAGATTAAGCTGCGAATGTTGAAACTATGGGAAATATTTTGGGATGTAATGTCATTGTCTATTTTTTTGCGAGTTAGAGACATGCCGACTTTCACAATTTCATGACCAAGACTTCAAAATGTTTTAAATCCGAGCTTTAGACGTTTGGATTCCTAAAAGTTGACGTCATTTATAAAACCAAACAAAAAAAATTGGACATCGAGACTACTAGAGAGCTTTCTGAAAAAAGAAAATCGACCTTGCCTGACTTATATAACCGCTTCGAAACAAGACTGTGAGACCCGTAAAGTTTCACGATAATTCTACGAGACGCATGATTTTTGAAGAACCATTCCCCACCCCTCCATTAATTTCTGGGCGTTACGCCTTACAAGAGGGCAAGAAGACAAATTAAACGGCCCTTAGTTTTTTTGAACTGCCGAATTGTATGATAAACAAACTTTGGAGCAGAATGTCCAGAGCGTAAGCGTGACCAGACCAGGGGGTTTTAGAAAGGCCAACCAATTTAGAAAATTTCCCCCAGAAGGTCTACGCTTGTCAAGAAAACTTAGAAGTAATAAAATCGATTTTGTCTTCTCATCTAACTATAAAAACAATTACCGTCACATTTTCATTAATCGTTCTCAGATTCAGGTGTGANAAATACAAGAAAGGTTGGAGGTGACCTTGCTTTGATCCAGACCTCTCTGCTTTTTCATTTAAATGCAAACTAGTTAGCATGAGAACAACTTGATCTTCATAACAAAAGCAGTGAGGTCTGTATCAAAACAAGGTCACCTGCAGTCTCGCTGCCGTTTAGCTCAATGGTCTAACAGTCTAAATCGTCGAATTGATATTTCACCACTCACCTTTTACGAGACTTTTTTCGAGATTTTTTTAATAGACCATTTTACAGCTGTCTGGCAGACAACAGTAAAATTGTCTATTAAAAAGTAGCCGTTTATGGTTCCTAACTGCGCTCCTGGCACAAAGGATCTTGTAGAATTCAATGCTCGTTCAAGAGTTAGACATTAAGCTTTAATTTTAGCGAAAAGTAACAATGGAAAACGAAGTCAAATTAGACAGCCCGATGTTCGGAAAAAGGCTTTCAGATTCGCAATTCAGGGGCAGAAAATTGCTTCTTCAGAAAGCCACATACAAATCGTATAATATTATATTTCTGGAAGCTTTAACGACTCTTTACTTACAGTGGGCCTTGCAGAAAACACGATATAGGATCCTATATGTCTGCAAGGCGACGTGTTGTATGCATCCTTCATCCTTCATCCAATAAAAGATCTGACCATACAGGCTATGGTTATAGTTATACTTTACCAACTACGGGTATATTACGAACCCACAACATGACCAGCTCCTAGTTTGCTTGATAGCTCAGTCAGTAGAGCACCGCACCGGTATCGTAGATGTCATGGGTTTGAATCTCGTGTTGTATTTCAGGCTTTAATTTCGCAGCTGCTTAAGTTGTGTATATCATTGATGTCTTCACACCAGCTTTGGTTTATTCCCTAGGCTATTGATTTGAATTCGCCTTGTGATACAGAGGCAAACAATTTGATCAGCGTGTCAGCCTTTTCCTACCTGTAGTTTCGAAGACTCGCAACAATCGTGGGTCACGTGGGCTGATCCAACATCTTAATGAACTAAACATGTTTTTGATGCACAGATATCTGAAAAGGTTAGATTTTGGTGGGAAAAAGTTAAAATACATCAGCACTGAGTAATAAACTGCTTCTAAAAGGTCCTAAAATAGAAGTCGTGTAAAACAATACCTGATATAAGTTTTGTACGAACTGTTCTATATTTTATTTCCATTGCTTCTTATCACAACTGAGGTTGCGTTTTGACTCGCTGTTTTCGGAAGTTAGCTTGTTATTTCGGAATATGCTAACAGCCGTTGTCGATATTTTTGAGGGATTGTTATTTTACGGTGTTTACTTTCTCTTCGATATTTCGTTCAGTAACTCGTACTGCATTAATAAATAAAAAGCAAGATCCGCACTTTAAGCTGCATGTTCCTCTATAATAGGATGATTTTCTTGCTCTAAGCCTACCTGCCCCTACAGGTACCTCAGTACTACCGCATGTCTAGAGCTGATAATTTGTTAACCTCATCACACACTAGTCGTCACATTATTTGAACAATAACCTTCTATAGCTCTAACAGTCTAAATCGTTGAATTGATGCTTCACCTCAGACTGTAAATGATACCATGAATACGATTACACATCAACGGAAAATTGCGCTCAGTCCTACAATGTAGTCAAGGAAATCAAACATTTTAGCTACATAATCACGCGTACGGCTACACCATGCTAAGACAGCCTTCCTTGACTCCACGAGAAAGAAAGAACGCTGGTTTCTTCATGGCGGGGAGGGGTAATAGGTTCTTTACGCAGGGCTGGTGGCCCAGCATCTGAATTATACCAAAAAAAGCCACTACTTTTTTTATATATAAATGATAAACTCAGTAATATATACCGTCGAAAGCTAAAAGAGCATTTTCTTTTTTTAATCTGCTGTGTGGCCAACTTTCGCTGAATCCTTCATGCAATAAAACACCTGCTAATCATACAGGTTATGGTATATTCACCCGGTTATTCATTTAAATGTGCATAATGTATACTGAAACAACCTATTTGTCTCAACGTTCTACTTTTGGTTTATCACTCTTTTCCTATCGCTTCTTTCGATTCAGGGCTCATGTTGACCGTTCCATTTTAATAGAATGAAAATGTTTCTAATGCAGAGAGATCTAAGAAGGATACAGTTTGGTAAAAAAAAACAAAAAACATTACATCAACACAGTGTAACGTTTTGGTTTCGAAATAAGGGTCATCTGAAACAAATACCAGATCAGTCTGCCTCGAATTGTTGGATATGTTTTTCCCATTGCCTCTCGTTAGAAGTCAATTTGTACTTGGGGCCGCTATTTTCGGAAGTTTGCTCCTTTCGGATCTTCAAGGTTATTGCTCAAATAATGCGAGGACTGGTGCAGATACGTACTGAATTAAACATTATAAGTTCTAGTGCATGCAGAATATTTCAGAGCCAGACCAACGGATCATCCGAGTCATGTCTAACAAGCAGGTAGCTCAGAGTACAAACCTTAGTGAATTCTTACAAACTGAAATGAGCGTTCTTGGAACGAGTGCTTAAAACGAAAGAAATGCCGCGAGGTTAATTAAGTCCCGAAAGTAACGACTCCGAAAAATAGCAATGAGCCTAGTTTCTCAGTTGTCAGCATATTCTAAAGGTAGCAGTCTTCCGAAAGGAAAGTCTCAAAGGTTTCAAAGTCAAAATCGCTCAATTGATGCTTAACAAAAGACTACTGATGTAAATGATATCATGAATGTAGTTTACGAACCTCAACAGAAGGTTACGTTCTCTCCTGCTGCCTACAATGTAAAATCAATCAATCAATCAATCAATCAATCTATCAATCATCATCATCATCATTATTATTATTATTATTGGTATTGCTATTATTATTATTATTATTATTATTATTATTGGTATTGCTATTATTATTATTATTATTATTAATTTTTATTTTTTTTATTTATTTTTTCCATGAGTAACAACCATAAGAAGCATGCGCAATTCCATATTAATGAAAAAAGTCAGTAAAGTACTCCGTGGACAGACCTTCTATTTCAGCTCTCACTCGTGGAGTACGTGAGCAATAGAAAAGAGCCGAGAATTAAACACGCGCGAACAAATCTCGCGCGCTCGCCGCGGGTGCTCAGTTTTTACGAAGAAGAAAACAAGGAATAGCTGTGGACATACTACAATTAAAACTAATATTAATAGTTGACAACCCATGAACAGGTTGTCTTGATGTGAAAGGACATTGATTCCAAACCTGCTACATGTATAAGATACATGAATGATTTATTTCAAAGTTACAGTTCTAACTCAGGATCCTGTTCCTTGTTTAAACATTCTCCTTCTATTAATGCATACGGTTTATATGGTTTGTGAGATTCGGGAGTATATTCTACCTTTGACTGATGAGAAATTAAAACTTTATACGTTTTTCAAAGTGTGGAGATTTTAATTTCAAGGTGCATCAACTGATTCAACAATCTTCAACTTTTAATTCTAGCTGTAGAATGTACAAACTACTCAAGTCTGACCAGCGATGACCGGAAAACCACATACATCGCGAAGTCTCGTCAGTGTGACAGAAACCTCAATGGCTGGTATCGTTTCCAAGGAGCTGCGGGAACTAGAATGCCTACTTCATGTCCACCTACATGGAGGTGTGGCACTGCTGGAAGCGGCTGGCTAAATGGTGTACATCCTACAGTGGCTGATGGCAGAGTAACCAGGCAAGTCTGCTTTCATTGGGATTTAAACTGTTGTTGGAAATCCACCAACATTGAAGTGAGAAACTGCGGCTCTTTCTATGTTTACCACTTCAGTGGTTCAAATGGCTGTTACCATCGCTACTGTGGCACTGACTAATTGCTTTCCTCATAAATCTCGACAACTTCCGTGTGCTTGATGAATAATCTTTTTATAAAATATTTCTTTTCATTGATATTAACAAAGGTATTAATAGCAACACACAACACATGCAAAAAGTGGCGATTTCTTGCCTTGACCTCGGTTTTAGTTGACTGTTGCTATAGATACATTTGTTAATATAAATTAAAACATATTTGCCCTTAATTACTGACAACGAAGATTAAGCTGCGAATGTTGAAACTATGGCATATATTTTGGGACGTAATGTTATTGTGTATTTTTTTTTTCTCTAATTCTTACTTTGGGTTACGTTTTCCTTTCCACTTCGTTTAAGGGGGTCTTATACTCTCAGATATAAATTTTTCTCCAGAAAACCATTTTTTTGGAACATGAAGATTCAACATTCCTGTCCATTTGTAAATCGTATTTTGAAACGATTTTCCTCTAATTACTCCTGAATTTACGTTTCAGTTAAGAAATCTGAACACTTCTAGCTATATTTCAACATAGCAACACCCATAGCAACCATTGTTTACAGTCTAAAAGTACTCACAAAATGGATTCAATTCA